CAAAAGTAGAGACTTTAAGCTGTAAAATGCTTTTTCGATCATTATGTTACGATAATTTTTGATAAAGTTGCTCTATCTTGAATTTTTAGAATTTATCGATATATTAATGCATTGTCCGGTCAATTAGTTTGATGACTGTGTATATATATATATGTATATATATATATATATATATATATTGTATATATAGTATATATATGTATACTTGATCCTCTTATGCAAACTGTGCCTTTTTAATTGAGAAATGATTCTTGACAAGCATATATATAACGTCGTAACGTAATTATAAATATTACGTTAATTATTAAAGATAAATAAACTTATAATAAGGTTAATAATTTCTAAAAGGATCAGTTGTGCTGCTGTTTCGTCTGTATATATATATAGATTATTATGAATCTTACCAATTAAGTATATATATATATATATATATATATATATATCAATGGATTCGAATGTAATACAATTTTTTAAAATAATATTGTTTAAAATAAATGGAGCAAAATGAATAAAACGTACTGACTGTTTTTTTATGTTATAATTGCAGCGTACTTAAATTTTTCAAAAATTTGATACATATTTCTGAAATATGTATTTATTTATATATTATTTATTAATTAATTAATTATAAAATACAATAATTATATTATATTATATTATATTATATACATAAACATGGTATAACATTGGAAATATTTTGAGAAATATTAAATTTTTAGAAAGTTTAAATATAAGCACTCTTGAAAAGACGATCCTGAATCTGACAGGAACAGGTGCACGATGCACGTGCAGTCGCGGGTAGGAGCGGTAGCGTCACCTGTCGACGATCGCGTGCAAAATGGCCGCGTCTGTCAAAAGTATGTTTCACTGACAGAAGAAAACGCTGCTGGATACTTGCGTAAATACAAAGTGAAGCAGGTTTGTATCCGGCGCATCGCATAGGCTTTAGTATAACTGAAATTTTTGCACGTCTCGATGGACAATAAAGCGAATCCGTACACCTCTGGGCGTGGCACGGCATGATTCGCTCCCAATTCCGGTCGTATCCTACTCGTAAATTCTTTTTTCGTCGTGAGTTTTCTGTGAAAGTACGTGCCGTTTGTATCGAGCTCGAACGATCTCGCCGTTAGCTCGTCAATCAAGATTATTTTATCGTTACGTTATCACGAGCGCCGCGAACTTTGTGAGGTTATGTCACAGGGACAGCAGTCAAGTTTGTAAGAGCATAGAAAAATATTCAAATATGGCATTGTTTATATATATATATACACATTTTTTTATGCTCTGGCATGTTTTATATATCCAAAGTATATTTGTTTCAACAATATTTATTATTAGATACATTCAGAGAAAAAAAATGGGCAAACATTCCGATTCTGATTTAATATTCGGAGAGCAGATTGTTATTTTGATCCCGTTAACTCTACATTTTTGAGAATAATATTAGTTGAAAAATTGTTAACTCTTCTCTTACTTTTAAATTAATTATCACATATCTTACATTATAATTGGCTTTACAGGTGCAGAAGGTTTATACACAATCTCGTAGGTAGCAGTAAATAAAGTTGAAAACAAGAATGTCATTGCAACGAAAGTAGAAAAATTTGCGACTTTAATACAAGTATGGAAAAGAGGGGCAGTGCAGAACTCTTGGGTACGGAACAAAGCAATTCAAAGAATGCCAGTTCAGACTCTCTCAACACAGACAGCAAGAGCAGTTCGCTTAATTCGAAAATGGGCCAGGAATCGGTATGACGCAGAGTTTATTTGATTAAGATTACAATTGATGACATCTATACATTACTATTTATTAAATCTTGAGTGAAACTAAAAATTTCTTTAGGAGAGTTGGGAAAAAGCTTCACATTCAAAAAGTTTTTCTTCAAGCTCCACTTCAACAGATAATAATATAGTCTCTGCTCTAGAGGCTAAAAAAGATAATCAAGTAAAAGTGAGTTTGTAGCGAATGCTTAAGCACACACAGCACGGTTCTTATTTTTGTTTATGGCAATTATGACATTTTTTGTTCGAACAAACATTCAGCAACAATTGATAAATAATATAATATACTTTGAATGTACGATGTTTCGTTGTGTAAAACATTTTCCTATTATTTCACTTTTACTTTGCAACACACATTTACTGCTGTTGCCATTTTATTCTGTTGAAGTTGTATAAAAGCTTTTCTTTTATTATAAAATTTATCATTGCACAATATTTATTTTTAGCTGACTACTTACGCCGCTATTTTGTTTAGAATTTGTCTGCAGGGGACACGGGACCACCGCTCTTGAATGGAGAACGGGTGCAAGGCATTGCGCACGAAGTTACCTATTTGTGTCCTTATTCGGGGCCTGCCAGAGGAGTCCTTAGTGTTACGAACTACAAGCTTCATTTTCGTAGTGTAGATCGAGAAACGCCTTATGTTGTCGAAGTGCCGTTGGGGGTCGTTAGTCGAATTGAAAAGGTCGGCGGTGCGTCGAGTAGAGGAGAGAATTCTTACGGGATCGAGGTGTTTTGTAAAGATATGAGGAATCTCAGATTTGCTCATAAGCAGGAGAACCATTCCAGACGAGACGTATTCGAGAAGCTACAACAGTATTCTTTTCCACTATCTCACAAGTTACCTCTCTTTGCCTTTGAATACTCTGCAACCTTTTCTGAAAATGGTTGGAACGTTTATGAGCCTATTGCAGAATTAAAGAGGATGGTATGTATTAAGAAACATGATATTTTATTTAAAACTCGAATATATTTATTTTGACGCGATACTTTAATCATAATGACAATTTGTTAATCTAACATCGTTTCTCCTTGTATTTCAGGGTGTAAATAATGACATGTGGAAAATATCCAAAATCAATGACACGTATTCGCTGTGCGACAGCTATCCGGCTGTCTGGGCGGTACCCGCCGCAGCGACCGACGAGGATCTTCAAGCCTCCGCGGCTTTTAGGAGTAGAGGTAGACTTCCGGTCCTCTCGTGGATACATCCGGAAAGTCAAGCGACAATAACTCGTTGCGCCCAGCCGTTAGTTGGTGTCGGCGGCAAACGAAGTCGCGAGGACGAGAGATACGTCCAGCTGATAATGGACGCTAACGCACAAAGTCACAAACTTTTCATTATGGACGCGCGACCGATGCCAAACGCGATAGCGAACAAAGCGAAGGGCGGTGGATACGAAAGCGAAGACGCTTATCAGAATGCGGAATTGGTCTTTCTCGATATTCACAATATACATGTTATGAGAGAAAGTCTCAGGAAGTTAAAAGGTATCAGATTCGTCGCAATTACATTAATACAAAAGTTTTTTCTCTCGGTCTACATTTTCTTTTTTTTTTTTGCTTTAGAATTATGTTTTCCTACAATTGACGAGGCTCGATGGCTATCGGGCATAGAATCAACAATGTGGCTTAAGCATATCAAATGTGTTCTTGCTGGAGCTGTAAGAATTGTCGACAAAGTCGAAAATCATAAAACTTCAGTCTTAGTTCATTGTTCCGACGGATGGGATCGAACAGCACAGGTAAATGTCATTTAATTCTAATCGATTAATTTTATTATTAAGAAAATTGTTTGTCCTAATTGATGAAAAAAATGCGTTTTTGAGAACACGAGTAAAAAATAGAGCAAAAATATGACATTTTTCGTTGACTATTTTTATTGAAAATTTTTTTTACTTTATAACCTTTTAAATATAAAAATATATAAATAAATTGTTAACATCAAAATATTAAAATTTATTCTTAAAAGTACTTTTTTTTTATTGAACAGTTAAGCTGGAAAAAACTCAATAAATTGCAACGATGTAAATTTTATTTTGTATCAATCGATTCTAACTGTCGTCTAATATATATAAATCGAAAGATGAAACGTTACAATATTTATTACATGTCCATATTGTCTTTTTTAGCTTACAGCTCTCGCAATGTTAATGTTAGATCCATATTATAGAACAGTCAAGGGATTTGAGGTTCTAATAGAAAAAGAGTGGCTTAGCTTTGGACATAAATTTCAACAGGTACGTAGAACTTTATTTAAAAATTGCTTCTACAATATTTTATACTATTGTTATATTTGCTGTAATTAATAATGATTTTGTTTTAGAGGATAGGCCACGGTGATGAACATCACAGCGATGCAGATAGATCGCCAGTATTTTTACAATTTATCGATTGCGTTTGGCAAATAATGCAACAATTCCTCAACGCTTTCGAATTCAACGAACATTTTTTAATTACTATTCTTGATCATCTTTATTCTTGCAGATTTGGCACGTTCTTGTTTAGCAGGTACATATTTATTTTATAAGACGATTTACTTTACATTCTTATGTAATTATATTAATGATATTAACAGCGAGTCATGATGATATTTACAGCGAACGCGAAAGAGTGCAAGAGCAAGTGAAGCAAAGAACAGTCTCTCTCTGGTCGTACACCAATAGTCAATTACCTCTTTATCTGAATCCACTTTATCGATCCGGCACGAACTATCAACTTGTTCTAATGCCAGTTGCTAGTATGCGATATATCAAACCGTGGAAAAGTTTGTATTGTAGATGGAACCCCAGTATGCGGCAACAGGTACATTAAATTATTTCTAACAGGCTTATCATATTAAATTAAGTTTGCGAATTATATGAATGTCCTTATTGAAACGTCTGTTTTTGTCTATTTCAAGGATCCCGTCTATCAGAGAACAAGGGAGCTTCTAGTCTTGAAAGAGCAGCTTGAGAAGCAGCTGGAGGAAGGTAGACGCGAACAGGCCTCACGTGCGAATCGAGCCATTACCTCGCCGGCGCCACCCAGAATACATTCCCCGGTTCACATATAGCGCCACGGGGAACTTTGACCGTCTGATAATTTGTAGTTTTGTAAATGAGCTGTAAACTCTTGATCTACTCTTTCGAGCCAGTACAAGATATTTTGACTGAATTCCGCTTATGGATGTTATGTATAATATGCCCACTTGATAAAAACGAATTTAGATTCGTGCGTACTTTTTTTTTTGCATTTCAATGAATTTACCGCAACCGCATACGGAGAACGAATCCTTTCACATAATTTATACAAATTGTACCCAATTTAATCCCAAGGCTCCATCAAAGTCGAATATGATTTCGCACAAATGTGTAGCTGGATATAAGTCTAAAAAATTGATTTTATTTTATTCGTTTTTTATTACAATTACAATATTACATACTTCCATCGCACGTATGCGAATAATCTGATGTCCTTTATATTTTTTTTTTTTGCTGAAAGATTGAGTAAATGTTCGCATTAGTAAGATATAGAGTGATTCTGCCATTAAAGACAATGCGTATCCATAGAAATAACTAATTCCTAAGTATCCCATGATTAAGACGCTCTGAAAAACGAAAATTGTGACAATAAGTGTATTTATTTTAAACATATCGATGTCAGGATTTTAATTGTTCGTGTACTTACTATGAGCAGAAACTCGAAGTGAATGGGTGATTCACTGTACAGACGTATTAAATATACATGATAATAAGATTTACGAGGTAAACGCAGTACGTGAGTCTGCTGAAAGGAATCCAGACTTTCCTGTTACCAGCTTTTTAATGATGCCTGCAATAAAATCAAGTGTTTGATGACCAGATTAAACAATTTTTTTTCTAAATTATAATATTCTGTTACGCTCTGCCACTGTCTATTACAAAAATGCTTATTATTAAAGCGTGAATTAAAAAAATTGGATTAAATGGAATGTAAGTCGTGAATAATGTATATTACAACAATTTATTTATGCTGATATATGATATGAGATTTATTTATATATTATTAAATCAACTAACCTCCGTGCTTATAATAGAGCACACTATTACAATCCATGCTATGCCTATGGCCCAAACTGTTCTACTTAATGCAACATAGATAGCAGTAGACAGAACGGATATCTGTCGTTTGTAAAGGCTGAATAATACAAGAATGTTGCAAGCAGCACCAATGCTCCAATATAAAATTACAGTACTCTGAAATTTACGTATTATGTGCAAAATTATGTTTAAACTATTGTAGCACATTGCGAATAATTTGTGGATCTGGGTTAAATAATTTTTTTTTATACAGTTTCTTACATTACTTATGTTTTTTTTCATTGCAGACATGTTAAATTTTAAAGAGAAATCTCAGTGTCTTTATTTATAAATGATTAATCTGTGTACACACAAATAATAAATGCTATTTTGATACTATTATTAGATAATAACAAGCAAATAAAAATCTAATTACAGAAATATAAGAAAACTAGCAATTTTCAGCAAAGCTCTTTTTTCGATTAAAGAAATTATTTTGACATTATTAGTTTATCATATAGGTATAGACATTTCAAATCCGCGTCCTGAATTATTAGAAATAATAATTGTCATCTGAATAATTTTATTAATCAGTAACATACATATTTCATAATTGTACTAACAATTGTTTATGTTTTTATACGTCGAATTCTCTTGTTCGAAAATATAAATAATAGAAAATAATAATTAACTTTACCCTACTTTTCATGGTAATTTTTTATTCAGTCTTTTTACAATGTAATCTGAAATCATTCCAATAATATATGGATCAATTCGGATCCATGATGGATAGTATAAGACATCTCTAAGTCTGTAAATTGCTCGTCCAAGCTGCAATAATAAAAAGAACGTTCTTTTATCTGATTAATCTCATTAGTAAGATGACTATTAAGATTTTTGCAACGTTCGGGACAAATTCGTAAATGTATGAGACATAACCGCTTAAAATAATCAATTCTATCAGAAGCATACCTAGTATAACGACCGTGTAAAAATATCTGAAATTCGCAGCTTATATATTTATTTCTTATATTTATTTATGCGTGCGGTAAAATATATACATGTAATTAACATCTCGACATTAACGATTGTTTAGTCTTACATAGACGACAGAAGCAAGAGCGCCAGATCGATTACAAAATATTGCATATTGCTGGATAGATATACCAACTCCAAAGCATGCACTGCAAGAAAATGGGAATTCCGATACTTAATTCAGAATAAGGAATCTCTCGCGCGCTATCGAAGCGCACAATATCGGATTGAACATCATAATTTGCGTTCACGTATCACATCATTGAAATCGAACAGATTATTTATGTACAACCCAGATAGCACGCAGAGCCCAAAAGAATTCATTAGTATATTCAATTTGATGTCATCAATTCTGAGTTCATTTTCAGGTGCAAAAAGAATCTCTTTTAGAAAAAGGATTCTTTTTGCATCTGAAAATGAACTCAGAATTAGTGACATATAACTGAGTTCTTTTTTCATTCTCAGTGCTATCTGGTAAGATATATTCCTCCACCAATATTTCGCGCAAGTTTTGTCCGATCTCTCATCGGTGTAGAACTGCGAGGTCTCCTCCAAGCTGAGTTCAATTGAGCTATTTCTATATCATCATTATATGTAAGCCGGTGTCAATCTTAAAATGAATTTTTAGCTTTAATTATAAAAACGTGAAGAGAGCATTCATTTATTTATTTGGCTCGCCGTTGAATCGAATTTTTCTTTAAATCGCATTCTCTTATTTTGCTCATTATTACTATACTATTAATACTGTCACGCTTACAGCGTCGTCTTTGTTTGTCGTCGCTGCGCGAAGATAACGAAGAAACATACCGGATAAATCTTCTCATTACGCCGAGAAAGAACAGTTTTAAAGATTCTCTGCAAATCTCTTAATTGGTTTATTCCGTTCCTTATCATTCACCTTTAAATATATGTAGGACAATAAGAGCCCGCTTAAAAAGAAGTAAGTGTCGACCGATACGACTGCGTTGCTTATCACTTGAATGGGGATACCCTCGGCGAATCTCAGACTCCACGTTTTATTGTCTACGTATGCGAAACGACGTTCGTCATGCATAGAAAATGACACAGACGTAAAGTTACTCAGTTCTAACAATTTTCGTGCATTGGTTTATCGCAAAATGGAGCTAAAAAAAGTACGCTGTGGGCTATGATTATCCAAACCATAGTCAAAAATCGTAAGTCGTGAACGACAGGAATCGCTTTGCAGTTCAATTCCATGTTAAATATTATCTTCGTATTTGTGTAAACGGATAATCACATTAGTATGTTCCCAATTCTACCGCTGTGCGATCTCGAAGGGATTTCTGTTCATTGTAATAAGGCACTGGCTGCGACTGCCCAGCCAAAAATTATTTCCATAAAGGAAACCTGCGGTGGGACCGCCATTAGAATCCAATACTTGAAGACAAAAATACATAACATTGTCATAATTCACATATAAAAATATTGAATATAATATATCCATTCTTATTCATTGATATTAGATAATCGACGAAATTTTCATTAATTGCGGTGAATGCAGGATTACTAATTCACGAAAGACAACTATATATACATATATATCGCATTATTCGAATTTCTCGGTGTTTTTTAATTTCATTAATTTAACATCGACGCGATTTGCTTTACTAGTTTCAATGATTGTTACGAAACACATTATATGACATAATTATTCTATGTTACCTATTATTATGCATTTTATGGAAAGAATCTTAGAAGAATACGATAAAGAATAATAATGAGATAATGTATTAATAAGTGTACGCGAAATATTTTCGCTAACTCTAAACTCTCTTAAGTAACAACTTACAAAGAATGCTTTGCGACTTATTCGTACCAACTTTCATTCAGATCGCTTCTGTCATCCATGAATAAACGAATAGTGTGAAAAAATAACCGAAACTTAAGGCACATGCAGGAATATCTATTGAATACATTGAGTATCCAATGAGAGTGTGTACTCTTAATTATAACGTTCTCCAAACGCTGGAAGGCGTATAGCACCGCGGTACGCCTCGCAACGCGTGCCTGAATCTGCAGGATCCTCGAAATGAAATGAGAGAAAATCGTGCAGTGTTGCACGCGTAACAGACGCTTCTCCCTTGCACATGCGGCTGAGAAACTAGTTACTTGTGTAACACGAAGAAAGTTGATTCGGCTAAGTGTTCTAACCGAAAGTTACGCGTGCGACACAATCGCAGTTGGTAATACACTTATGGAGAATATGTTGCATAATGTGAATAAATGAATTATGATTGGAATGCAACTCATATGTCCCCGGACAAATTGTTCTCCAATCGAGAGAAAAAGACCACGTTTGAGGTTTGAATAATCGACGTGATAAGTGCCACTTTTCACGCTCGTTATTTTAACGATCTACCGCATTGCATATTTTATGGAACGCGAGTGTATTTTAAAGATATTTAAGAATGTTTTTGTAATAACGCAGAAAATAAAACAGATACAGCTCTTTGCATTCTATCTGAATGATAATTAAGTAATCCAAGTAACAAAATGATGTCAAATAATCGTTTCAATAACATCTTATTGACGTTGGAGAATAGACTAAGATGACTTTTGACGTTATTAAAACGTGACCTTGCATCACTTAGAAAATCATTTTACTGAAAATCAACTTTTTAAATCGTTATCATATGCGTTAAAGTACTAGAATTAAGAGGAAAAAAGAATCAAGTCGATATCTTAATTCGTTTTTTCGTAATTACTTCCGTCAGCTCGAAAAACATGTCACATTCAATTGCCACTTGGAGGTATTAATAAAATACATACAAAATACATAAAATAAAATACATTTTTATATAAATAAAAAATATTTTTTTGATGTTTAATTAATATATAAGTTTATGTAAAAACCCGCGTTTTAATGTATATATTAGATTTCCTTAAAAAAATTCATGAAACAAGGGCTAATTTTACGGCAAAGGTGAAATCCCCCCTTAAGTTGGAAAAAATCTCAATAAATTGCAACGATGTAAATTTTATTTTGTATATCAATCGATTCTAACTATCGTTGAATATATATAAACTGAATGACAAAATGTTACAATATTTATTACATGTCCACATTAGTCTTTTTTAGTTTACAGCTCTCGCAATGTTAATGTTAGATCCATACTACAGAACAGTCAAGGGATTTAAGGTTCTAATAATAGAAAAAGAGTGGCTTAGCTTTGGACATAAATTTCAACAGATGCATAGAACTTGGTTTAAAAATTGTTTCTACAATATTTCATATTATTGTTATATTTGCTATAATTAATAATAATTTTGTTTTAGAGGATAGGTGATGAACATCACAGCGATGCAGATAAATCGCGCCAGTATTTTTTCAATTTATCGATTGCGTTTGGCAAATAATGCAACAATTCCTCAAAGCTTTCGAATTCAACAAACATTTTTTAATTATTATTCTCGATTATCTTTATTCTTGCAGATTTGGCATGTTCTTGTTCAGCAGATACGTATTTATTTTTACCTTCACGTGAGAATCGAGCCATTCCAGCTCGCCGGCGTCACCCAGAATACTCTCCTCGATTCATATATAGCGCCACGGGCAACTTTGACCGTCTGATAATTTGTAATTTTGTAAATTAGCTGTGAACTCTTAATCTATTCTTTCGAGCCAGTACAAGATTTTAGACTGAATTCCGCTTGTGGATGTTGTATATAATATGCAGTCCATTTGATAAAAACTATCAATCTAGATTCGTGCGCGCGTACTTCTTTTGCATTTCAATGAATTTACTGCGACCGCATACGGAACGTAACCTTTCACATAATTTATACAAACTACCCAGTTTAATCCCAAGCATCATCAAAGTCGAATATGATTTCGCAAATGTATAGTCTGAAAAATCGATTTTATTTTATTCGTCTTTATTACAATTACAATATTATATGTTTCCAGCACAGTCATGTATGTGAAACTATAACCTCATGTTCTTTATATTTTTTTTTGCTGAAAGATTGGATGCATGTTCGCATTAGTAAGACATAGGGTGATTCTGCCATTAAAGACAATGCGTATGCACAGATATAACTAATTCCTAAGTGTCCCATGACTATGGTGGTCTGAAAATTGTGACAATAAGCACATTTATTATAAACGTATCGATGTCGGGGTTTTGATTGTTCGTGTACTTACCATGGACAGAAACTCTAAGTGAACAGGTGATTCATTGTACAGACGAATCGAATATATGACAAAAGGATTTAAAAGGTAAACGCAATACGTGAGTCTGCTGAGAGGAATCCAAAATTTGCATGTTAACAGCTCTTTAACGATACCTGCAATAAAATCAAGCGATTGATGACAAGAATAAACAATTTTTTTTCTAAACATTATTTATAACATTATTTTGTTACGCTCTGCCACTATCTATTACAAAAATGCTTATTTATTAAAGCGTGAATTTAAAAAATTGGATTAAATGGAATGTAAGTCGTGAATAATGTATATTACAACAATTTATTTATACTGATATATGATGAATTGATTTACTTATATATTATTAAATCAACTAACCTCCGTACTTAGTAGAGCATACTATTACAATCCATGCTATGCCTATGGCCCATACTGTTTTACTTAATGCAATATAGATAGCAGTAGACAGGACGGATATCTGTCGTTTGTAAAGGCCGAATAATACGAAAATGTTGCAAGCAGCACCAATGCTCCAATATAAAATTACGGTACTCTGAAATTTACGCATTATATGCAAAATGCTGTTGAAACTATTGTAGCACATTGAGAATAATTTGTAAATCTGGATTAAATAACTCTTTTTATATAATTATACAGTTTCTTACATTACTTGTGTTTTTTTTTGTTGCAGCCATATTAAATTTTAAGGAGAAATTTCAGTGTCTCTATTTATAAATAATTAATTTGTGTACACATAAATATTAAATGCTATTTTGATACGATTATTAGATAATAATAAGCAAATAAAAATCTAATTACAGAAATATAAGAACTCTTTTTTACGATAAAAGAAATTATTTTGATATTGTTAGTTCATCATATATAGACAATAGACATTTTAAATCCGCGTCCTGAATTATTATAAATAATAATTGTCATCTGAATTTTATTAATCAGTAACATATTTCATAACTGTACCAACGATTGCTTACGTTGTTATACGTCGAATTCTCTTGTTCGAAAATATAAATAATAGAAAATAATAATTAACTTTACCCTTTTCATGGTAATTTTTTTATTCAGTCTTTTTACAATGTAACCTGTAATCATTCCAATAATATATGGACCAATTCGGATCCATGATGGATAGTACAAGACATTTAAAAGTCTGTATTGCTCGTCCAAGCTGCAATAATAATAAGTACATTTATTTATCTGATCAATCTCTTTAGTAAGATGACTAATAAGACGTTTGCAACTTACGTCGGGACGTATTCGTAAATGTATGAGACATAACCGCTTAGAATAATCGACCCTATCAGAAGCATACCTAGTATGATAACAGCCGCGTAAAAATATCTGAAATTCGCAGCTTATATTTGTTTCGTATATTTATATATACGCGTGGTAAAATATATACACGTAACATCCCACCATTAACGATCGTTTAACTTACATAGACGACAGAATCAAGAGCGCCAGACCGATTACAAAGAATTGCATATCGTTGGATAGGTACCAACTCCAGGACATGCACTGCAAGAAAATGGGAATTTCGATAATTCAGAGTAAAGGGATCTCTCGCGCGCTTTCGATTCGCATAATATCGGATTGAACATCATAATTAAATTGGCGTTCACGTACCGATTCATCGGGATCGAACAGATTATTTATGTACAAGATATTCCTCCACCAATATTTCGCGCAAGTTTTGTGCGGTCTCTCATCGGTGTAGAACTGCGAGGTCTCCTCGTACCATGCCGAGTTTAGTTGCACTATTCCTATCATCATTATGTAAGCCGGTGTCAACCTTGAAACAAATTTTTTGCTTTAATTTTAAAAACATGAAAAGAGCATTCATTTATTATCTACAAGCGTGCCTTGCGCATCAAAAGTAAAATCGCAAAATATTTCGTTTTTACAACATAAATATTTTTTTTTACAAACTGCATTAAAAGTATAACTTTCATTATGAAATCACAAATATTAATCTAAATTCGTAATTTTTAAGAAAAATATCACAAGTATTAGAAATTTACTAAATTCATATATAGTAAAAGTGTTGTGAAATCGCAAACATTTCTAACAGTGTGGCTCGCCGTTAAATCGAGTTTTTTTTTAAAATCACATTCTTTTGTGTTGCTCATTACTATACCATTAATGCTGTCACGCTTATAGCATCGTCTTTGTTCTTCGTCGTCGCCGCGCGAATCGAGATAACGGAAAAACATACCGGATAAATCTCCTCATTACGCCGAGAAAGAACTCCTTTAGAGATTCTCTGCAATTAATTGGCTTTTTCCGTTCAGTGTCCTTCTCCTTTAGATACATGTAGGACAATAAGAGCCCACTTAAAAAGAAGTAAGATCGGCCGATATACTGCGTTGCTTATCACTTGAATGGGGATACCCTCGGCGAATCTCAGACTCCACGTTTTATTGTCTACGTATGCGAAACGACATTTGTTATGCATAGAAAACGACACGTAAAGTTACTCAGTTCTAACAATCTTCGTGCGTTATACTTACCGTAATAATTACTTAAGTAAAATGCGGAGTGAGCTATGATTATCCAAATCATGCTTAGAAATCGTAAGCCATGAACGACGGGAATCGCTTCGGAGTCCAATTCCATGTTAAATATTATCTTCGTATTTGTGTAAACGGAGAAACACATTAGTATGTTCCCAATTCTACTTATCTCACGTGAAGACGGCGAATCAGTCATTTCCATCTCCTCAACCGTGTTCTTTACACCTAAATCACAATACAGAATCTGTAAAAATCATGAAAGATGCTTGCCGACAAAGAGATATTAACGAGAAAATAATTCGCAAGAAAATATTGCACCACAAGAACAAATATGAAATATGGGAGGGAAAAATGCCTTGTATATTTTGTAGAATTTTACTAAAGTAATATAATATCCAAACTAGTTAAATAATTTCAATGCGCAGAGCACGAGTGTAATTTTCTGTTAAAATACCAGAAGCGTGGGACAAAATTAATAATGATTGTCTATTGCTTAAGAAGTTTAAAAAATTTAACAATTAGAATTGTACTTACTAACGGCAGTTTTACTCTTTCTCTTTAAATATTTTTGATATATAAATATATCGTATATCGTGCCGCTTATCATCATGGAGAAGGTAAGCACTAAAACAGCACTGAAACGATAAAATTAATATACGCAGATATCTCTCTTCCCCATTGCTTCTTCGAATACTCGAAAGGTAAAAACGTGTGTTATTATTTTATCTGTAATTATGTTAATTTTGTTGTCTTCGCGTTTTCTCGACGTACCATATGAGAGGCATCGCACCAGTCAATAGCCATTGATGATTGTCCCTTAAGTCTTTTACTTGGACCAGGCTGAAGTCCATAGAATAGAGATTATTGATCCAAAAAACTCTATCCTGAAATATCTTTTCCAATACAAAGCCTATATCGTTTATGGAACAGGACGCGGGCAAACAGAGGCCGAGGGTGATTAGATCCTAAAACAAAATTTTCTCTGTGTAGCATATTATATCGTATACGATGCATCATTAGTATTTTTCTGAGATTTTTCATAATTTTACATTTAAATATTTGTTCATTAGAGATAGATCTCGTCACGAAAGTTGTATGCGTAAACAAGTTGTATGCCAATTTTAATGTAACTTTCTCTTTTTACGATTTACGACATTACTTATATGCCATATGACCTAAACACTATAAGTTGTGTTTAGCGTGTTTAGGCCTGTTTGCAACAATGTTATAAAAACCGAATTATTTTAATGTTTTCGTCGCATTGATTTTAAAATAATAAAATTCATCCCGATTGTGATATTATAGAAAGACACTAGAAATGTGCGATTTAAGATCGATTAGCATACAATGTTACAAAACTTGACTTGAAATAAAAATGAAAAATCTACACTGTATAAAGCCATTGATTTAAAAACGGGATATAGTCTAGTTAAATCTCGACGAGAAATGAACTTACCTCGGTTTGTACAAATATGTGATACTGAAGAGTACTGTTATGTCTGAGATGAGCGACAAAGTAATTTACCGCGAAAGGCGGGAACTCTGTCTGCGGATCACGGTACCGTGTATTATTTATTATATGCCGCTGTGCGATCTCGAAGGGATTTCCGTTCATTGTATCGAGGCACTGGCTACGACTGCCCAGCCAAAAATTATTTCCATAAAGGAACCCCGTGGTAGGACTGCCACTAGAATCCAATACTTGAAAATACAAAAATACACATTGTCATTCACATAAAAATATTGAATAGTATCCATTCTTATTCATTGCTATTAGATGACGAAACTTTCATTGCGGTGAATGCAGGATCACTAATTCGCGAAAGACAACTTATATATATCTCGCATTATTCGGATTTTTCGATGTTTTTAATTTCATTAATTTAACATCGACACGATTTGCTTCACTAGTTTCAATGATTATTACGAAACAATAATTATATAATCTCGACATTATTCTGTACGTTGCCTATTATTATGCATTTTACGAAAAGAATTTTAGAAGAATACGATAAACAGTAATAATAATGAGATATTGTATTAATAAGTGTACAAAATATTTTCGCTAACTTCAAAGTAATAACGAAGAATACTTTGGGATTTATTCGTACTAACTTTCATTCAGATCGCTTCTAGTCATACATGAATAAACGTATAGTGTGAAAAGATAATCGAAACTCGAGGCACACGCAGGAATATGTATTGAATATTTTGAGTATCCAATGAGAGTGTGTACTCTCAGTTATAACGTTCTCCAAACGCTGGAAGGCGCATATGACACTGCGGTACGCCTCGCGGCGCGTGCCTGAATCCGCGGGATACAGGATCCTCGAAATGAAATGAGAGAAAATTGTGCGGTGTTGCACGCGTAATAGACGCTTTTCTCTTGCACATGCGGCTGAGAAACTAGTTCCTTGTGTAACACGAAGAAAGTTGATTCGGCTAAGTGTTCTAACCGAAAGTTGCGCGTGCGACACAATCGCGGTTGGTAATACACTTATGGCGAATATGTTGCATAATGTGAATAAATGAATTACGTTTGGAATGCAACTCATATGCCCCCGGATAAGTTGTTCTCCAATCGCGAGAAAAAGACCACGTTTGAGGTTTAAGTAATCGACGTGATAAGTGCCACTTTTCACGCTCGTGATTTTAACGATCTACCGCATTGCATATTTTAAAGAACGTGAGTGTATTTTAAAGGTATTTAAGAATTTTTTATAATAACGCAAAAAAGAAAGTATAAAACAAATACAGCTTGCACTCTATCTGAATGATAATTAAGTAACCTAAGTAATAAGATGATATCAAATAACGTTTCAATAACGTCTTATTGCCGTTAGAGAATAGATTAAGATTAATGTCTGACGTTATTAAAACGTCACCTTGCATCACTTAGAAAGTCGTTTACTAAAGATCAACCTTTTAAATCATCGTTATCATACAATATTATCATTATAAAGAAAGAAAAACGAGAGATTGTTTATTTGATTAGCATTCCTAAGGTTAGTACTTCGTACTTTTACGGTACGATTTTGATTAAGAATGAATTTTAATTACTTACTCTTCAAGCTCCACAGGATCCGTTGATCGACAGCATTTCGGAAATCTCGTAATTCCATTGCACATGTTGCCGAACCGAGAAGATCGGCTCTCGAGGCGATGGCATAGGCAGGTAATAAATGGATATCGCTGTTGTTTTCGTTAGAACCGTGATATTGTGCAGAAACGCAGAATAACGCGGCCGAATGACAGATATACGAAACGAACAAAAGTCGCTGACGCGACATTATGCATGTTTTTAGCGCACCCAAAATTCACAGGCACTTCTACTTTCCCGTTGCCGCAGCCTACGTGGCGAATACCAATCGCGAAACGATTAATTTCGGAGATACAATTACAGCGAAGCGTTTTGCTTGTGTAAAGAATTTAGTTAAAATGCATAGATCTAGAACTTATTCTCTTCGCCGAGATAAAGGAGTTTATCCTGACGAATCCCATTAAACAAATGTGCTGTTTGTTAATTTTGTCTGCGCAAACGTCAGTGTAACGTGTATTGGAGTTTTGTTCGAGGGTGCGCCCCTTTTGATTTGTACAATGGAGATTAATATTGGTCAGCGAGATTCGACGACCGGGACAAGACTGGTCTATATAGGGAGAAGTTAACGCGGATTTGCAGTGGAAAGCGAAACGTCCTCCCCGTCAACTTTTTCGTGGCGGAGCCCCACCACGTTATTGTGCACGATATCATTTGAATACGCCAACATATCGCCGAGATATCGTAATCTTAAAAAAAATAATCTTTTAAAATAATGAAATAATAAAATATATATTTATTGAGATAGCCTCTGTGTGAAAACAGAAACTATCTTTAGGATCGGCCGTAATCGATAGTCCATTTTCTTTGTTTAAGATCATCTTAGGTACAGTCTTAAGATATCACAAACCATTAACAATGCTTTTTAGCATTTTTAAAACTTAAAACTTGAAATAAAAATGGACTATAAATTATCAGCTTAGAGATGTTTTTTGTCTTATATTTACTTTTTCTTTGCAATTTTACAAACAAATTATTAAAAGATAAATACCATAATTGAAAGAAAAACATATTTAAAAAACAAATATTTCTTTATTTTCCAGGATTTTCAAGATTTAGTTATTAAGCTGTCAAAATATTCAAAATAGAAATTGATAGAAGAAAATCCAATTTTAAAAAATTGATCAAATTAATATAGCAAATTATGCTACAGCAAAATTCTCTCCGAAATGCGACCATAGGTTTCCCAAAGAATTTTTCGCACTGAACATGGTGCCGTTTGAAGAATTCGCATAGCACTTCAGGATTTTAAGTAAATTGGAGTGAAAGTGACTAAAAACTGTCATTTCACTTTCAATTCATTTCAATTTCCTCAAAATCCTGACATGCTAGGCAAATTCTGCTAACAGCATCGTGTTCAGCGCAAAAAAAACCTTTAATCGCATTTCGAAAAGAATTTTGCTATAGCACAGTGTTATCAATTTGATCAATTTTTTAAATTGGATTCCTTGTTTCCTCTAGTTTCTATTTTATTCTAAAATACACGTCAAATTTATCTAAATTATTATTGTCTGGGTAATCCGAGATAATTCCGATAAGCATGTAAGCAAAAGAATGTGGGACGCAAACGATGGAATCAAAAAATTCGCAGAAAATGATAATCTTCACTTTAAAATCATGCAGGCTAACAATAAATTATTCCGAAGTAATTCCCCCCAAAAAACAATTATCAAAGACATGTAAGGCAAAAAAACAGCATTGTGCATGAACTGACAAGGAAAGGAACCCAAGAGTCCACCTCCGATTTTGATGAGCATTTAGTATGTTATTCTCTAGACATAACCAAGAATTAAGCTACCGCATATTTGTGCTCGTTACGCACTTTTAAGGGATGAAACAACCCTTGGAAAAAAATCGGTTTTTTTATTTTAATGCGAATATCGAAACTACGAGAGATAGAAAAAAATGTTCGAACCAAAGTTGAATGGCTTTAAGAGTACTTTATAATTATAATTTAAAATAATTTTTGTATTGTTAATTTTTTTGTTTACTCCCACCACCACCAAATTTTTTTTTAATATTTCGAATTTTTTTGACCAAAATTAAATTTTTACCAATTTTAAGACAAATTCAATCATGTGTGATAAAGTTAGTTTCCGAAGTATCATTTTCGAAAAATAATTATAAACGCCTCTATACAATATGCACACTATCCATACTCTACGCTGCGTTCAATTCTTCACGCAGTACGTTCCGTTCGCATTTTTGCATTTAACAGGGGACAACGATTAAAAAAATCTATCTCCGCAATATTTTGCATACGTATAATTATGAATCGTTTTTATCGCGCGCGGCTAAACAACGCTAATTACGAAGCAAAATTTGAATACCATGTCCATAATGTCTAGACATGCTCGATAAAAACGATTCATAATTATACATAAGCAGAATATTGCGGAAATTATAGATTTGCTTTGATCGTTATCTTCTGTTAAATGCAAAAATGCGAGCAGAACGTGCTGCGTGAAGAATTGAGCGCACCATAATAGAGTCCGGATGGCATACGTATAGAGACATTTATAATTATTTCTCGAAAATGATACTTTGAAAAATAACTTTATCACACATGGTTGAATTTGTCTTAAAATTGGTAAAAATTTAATTTTGATAAAAAAGAAATTCGAAATATTAAAACAAAATTTTTGATGGTGGGGGTACAAAAAAATTAACAATAAAAAAATTATTTTAAATAATTTAAATTATAATTATAAAGTACTCTTAAAGCCATTCAAACATTTTTTTTCTATCTCTCGTAGTTTCGACGATATTCGCATCAAAATAAAAAAAAACCGATTTTTTTCCAAGGTTTGTTTTAAATCTTAAAAGTACGTAAGAACACGAATATGCAGCTTAATTCTTGATTTTGTCTAGAGAAAAACATATTAAAAGCTCATTGAAATTGGAAGGGGCACTTGGATCCCTTCCCTTGTGAGAAATGTTTGACAAATAATAATTATTATATACTCCTAGCGAGTTTCATAAACGTATTCACTTAAAAAATATGAATGCTTGAATATTTATGAATGCTTATGACCTACGATCGAGCTCTAATAATAGATTAGAAATCGTTTTTTAATTACCGTCTCGCTTATCGTTATTTAATAATAAGCAATCATGACATTGAGAAATTCATTGGCAGAATACGTAATGAAACATTATGTGGCGAACTGGTTTATACATAACGTCATGTTATTTGTATGTGTAAATAAGTCCGGCCAAATTAAAAAATGATATCTACAATATTCTAAAAATAAATGTCAAGAAATATATATTATTTTAAAAATTATAATCTATATAAATAATTATAAACGCACGTTACGTTATTTAATAATTATTATGCGTAAATAAATAAAACACATATGTAAGATATGATAGTTTTAACGTGTGCTTAATGCTATTATTTAAAAATATGCAGAATATTTGGAAAAGTATTAAAGAATTTAATGTTTATCGAATTATTAGAAATGATCAGCAAAATAAAATGCAAAAAAATTAATAAACATTCTGATATGTGTAATAAGATATAATTAAAATACTCGTTTATATGCAAAAACACACATACACACACACACACATATACATACGTAAAAACCTTGGCGACAAATACTGTTTGTATAATTGTAATTTTAATAAAAATTTTTATAAAATGGTTATATTAACAAAAAATAATAATCTAAAATCTAGCCTGTATCGCAGAAAGGCGACCCACATATAGGGAAATTAGTTGTGTTATTTACATAGGCAGTTTTATTCAAATTATAATTATTATAAAATAATAACTTTATTAGTATATAAAATATATATCTGATTTACTTCTGTTTGAACAGTTAATAACAGTCTTTTGATTTAAGAAAGAAGAAGAATGATACATTTCACATAATAATTATTATATTAAAATGTTTAAGTATTTATAAAATGTATATAAAATACCAACATTTTTTTCTTATAAGTTTCTTATAAGTACAAGTAATAAAAATAAAAAAATATTAAATTAGAAAGTTTTTTAACATAAAAGAACAATAAAAATTTATTAATCAAAGTAAAATCCGGTGTGCAAACTTTTTACGGGAATAGAAATAAATAATTAAGCTTTCTTTCTTGAATTTGTGCGTTAAATATTCTGTTTGTACTTTTTGTTTTACATGTAAAAGTATGTAATCTACATACATATTTCTGTACACTTCTACTCCTCTCCCCTCACCAGTAATTTAAGGGCTAAAAAAGATCATTTGAAATGCTTTTGCCTTGTCCCAATATTTTTTCCAAGTCGGCGCCTCTGAACATGATTCCTCTGTAATTATTCTGCACATAAAAGTATTAAGGTAAAGTTATCGAAAAATCAATACATGATATTTTATACTTTATTATATATTTGCCGTATTTCGACTTAAAATATAAAATATTTCGTAAACTATTGATTTCTTGATAATTGTTCTTGATAATTTTATTATATGCTTTTATGCACAAAATAATGAGATCAATGGATTGGTATAAAGAAAACTGCTGTGCAAAAAATACAATTTTTACATTTTTTTGCAAAGCAACTGTGTTATATATATATATATATATATATATATATATATATATATATATAATATACATCTGGAAATAAATTATGCGAAATAAGCTATGTTTACAATTATAACAACTGTCAAATTAATAACATTTAGAAATAAATATATAATTTAATTCTTCCCTAAAACAAAAAGATAGTTTTCGATTTATTTTACAAGTCTCTCGATCATTCTATCAATTACAAATGTTGTTTTTTTAAAATATGACTATTTAAATATTATATTACAAGAAATTTTATTGTGTATTTTCTCACTTCCAATGCGATAATCTGAGAGAATGAATAAACAGAAGCCTTAACATAAATCGCAACATTATGCATCGATGCATTTATTAGTGCCATTGCGTTGCGTCTATTCTAATTAACTTTTTAGATTGGTAATGCTGACTTTTTATTGTTGCACATTTGCAATTAAATACAGTACACCGTCGTTTAAATACAGTACACCGACATTATCGTCGACGCGTATAATGTTCACATTTTTCCATTGAAAATAACTCGAAAGTAAGTCGAAAAGCGTACGACACTTAAATATTGTATTTTTCACTAATGATGTAATCAACTTTTAAATTGTTATACTGAAAGCTTTGTGTACTAATTATTGCGCTCTCAATCATATGTATATGTTCTAAGCTCTCAATATTCAGTATTTTACTTTTTCTTTTGTTTTTAAATACTGGAAGTTCTTGCTTAATTTATCTGTTTATTAATTTTGAATATTTTCAAAATTTTGATATTAAGGATATAAACATATAAATTTGGTCATTTAAAAAAAAATTGGAACATTAACAAGTTTTCAATATATAATCTAAATTCTAAATAATATATGCAAATAGCAAGCAGTTGTCCTTAAAATTTCAATATTTCGCGTTCTACTTAAATTTGCAATGTTATATATAATTGCGTATTAGATAAATTCGTATCGTAACTGAAAAATACGCGTTGAGTGTTACTTTATTAAAAATAAAATATTGAAA